GCCAACTGACGTAGCTACTTTTTAACGTTAAAAAATGTCCAATATTAAATTGTGTTTTTACTGGAAACTTGTCGGACATCTCTAACTTAAAATATCACTGATTTTTCTAATGACTGGCAATTATCAGCAAAATGTTGGACAGAGATAATTGCACGGTAATATTCTAGCAGGAAACTGAATTTTATGTCAATTTTGGAAAGTTAGAATGTAGTTGCTTACGTTCTTTTATCTGTGAAACGAAGATTTTTGACATGAATGATGATACACCCAAGAGTCGAAATGTATACACTGCTTCGGGAACTGGTGTCCACGGAAAATTTAGCGAGTAGGTACGGTCTCTTAAACCACTTACAGAGGGAACGCGCTTTCAAAAATTTACGACAGCGCGATGGGATTGTAAAACAAGAATATTTTTTATCAGGATAATCATAAAAAAGTAAAGAGGGTTTCAAGAAAAGTGATAATGCAGCTTGCTGACACATACTTTATGACTACGTTAAAACTTTGCTTTTCTGCTAGTTTGCCAGCACCTGGGTTCTCGCGGATATCAACACAGCGTCAGGTTAAGGTCATGCTTTTACAGAGGGGCCGGCCGTGAATTCATACGCTGTTCCTGGTCATGCTCATTCAATCATTTTCAGTTTTTATTTGTCGTTTTTTTCTTTGCATTTAACTATAAATGTATAGGAAGTTGTAAAAAATCCACCCAATAAAGTTAATTAAAAGTAAAAAAATCTCAAATCGCAGAAGGAGAAAAGAGAAAAAACTAACCTCGATGTAAAATTCCCCATCAAAAGTTGAAAATTGGTGTGAGGCTGAACGCTCCTAGTTTCTGATGAAACCATTGACCTATATTTCAATTAGTGCCAGAGCTTTCACGTAATTCGCCTTCTTAAAGAGATAGAGAGCTCATTTTTTATTTAAACACATAAGGAATTAAAGCTCACCTTTGCAGGGGTGATTTATTTAGTTTGGATTGAATTCAAGTCTCCGTCTAAAATACAGGGGAAGAGGGTGGAGAGGGGGTAGGAAATGGACTGGTGCTGAAATAAGTTGGTGGGTAAACTTACAGGGTTGTCACTCAGTTTTTAATTTATTTCAGGAGTTCTGGGATGTGCGACCTCTTCGAATGCCTTCAGATCCAGCAAAGTTGTTCCGGAACACATCTCCCAAAACTAACGCTCGCAAACATTACTTCCGATCAATTCCCGGAATAATGTTTTCAGACTCTATTTCTTGTGAATTTCAACGAGACGTTCCATAACCTTGCTTGGAATCGCTCGATTTGGATTGGTTTGGAATGTGCTTGGTTCATCAATCCCTTTTTGGAGCACATATTATGAGAAAAGTCAACTGCATCTATCAATATACTTGATAACCTAATCTGTGATGCGCCCATAGAGTCTACTATGAGTTATCTAATTTCTTAAATTTTCATTTTTAGCAAGGTTAAATCTGCGAAACTACCGGTTTCATGATTTTTTGACCACCAACAGACGGTAATCCATAGGATGAGTCCGCCATCCTGAAACTTAGAATTATGATCCAAAATGCTTACCTCAAAGCAGCTATAACTGTTTAATTAGGTCACTTCTCTGCATGACACGAGGACAAATATCTATTTCCGAACGAGTCCTGGGAAGCATAGAGTTAAATTGAGCAAAGGGTTCAAGTAGAGATTGAGAGAAATCCTTACGCCGAGAAGCGATGATAAGAGTACCGGTCAGGGGAACGCCCCATAATTTACTCAGGTACGTGTCATCTGTTTTTATGAGTATGGTTAAATTTTTAATGCATGGTGAGAAAAATTGGACGTATTTCTGTAAAACGGAACTATGTGCATTAAGACATGAGCTCTGAGACCTATAAGAATATACGCATAACAGGGCTTACACCATAATGCACATAGTTCCGTTTGACAGAAATACGTCCAATTAACCAAAATATTGTATTAATATGGGAAGTGGAACACGAAGAAAGACAAGCTGTTGATTGATTTTGTTTTATTTAGTTTGCCCTATGTCAAATCAATCAAATCTTTGGGTTGAGAGAGCAAATTTTTGTGTTGATAATCTGCAGTCTCATTAAAACTTGGTCGCTATCCGCCAGGATCAATCCTGGATCCCATCGATGGTAATCTAATGCGCTGGCCACTCACAAGTTGCGACCTCTGAACATGGAGACGAAAACAAAAGTGGGCGCATAAGTTCGGCAGGGCATTTTCTTCATGATCCGATGTCAAAGGGTCTAAGGGTCTAACGGTTTGGATCGATTTAACACAACACCATGTTGGGCAACCAAGTCCTCTGAGGTGATCCGACACAAAAAAGTAGCACAAAGTAACCCAGAGTATCACCGAACATTGAAACTTTTAACTGTGTGAGTTTCCTTAATGCTTAAGTGAATTTTATTCTGGACTCTTACCACGGAGAACGATCAACTCCCCTATATAACTTGGTACTTTCATTCGTATTTGAGGCGATGGGTGCAGAAAGGGCATTTCTTGATTGCGCTGTTGCAGCATCCCCACTGCTAATTAATAACTTAGAGAGGGAACTATTTGGTGAATTTTCTGAAATTTTACGTTCTCGGCACTGTAAAATCATAAAAAATATTCAGTAAAAGTTACAAAAAATGACATAAATTCGCTTTAATTATAATGGACAAAACTTTAGCGGAGATCCTGATACACCGCAACCAAGAAATGCCCTTCTGCACCCAACGCTTCACTTACGTGTCAATCATTTGCGACAGTGTGACTAAAGTTCCAACCGCATCCCCGATACCCGAAGGGTACAACAGTTTGACAGCCGTGTAAGGAGAGAGTTTGAAGGGCACAACTAGCAGAAGGCGGGCGCAGAGCAAAGGAAAGGGGGCCGCCGCGTAAATTCCATTAATTAAAAGCTTATTTATAACAGTAAATGTGTTTCACTAATTATTGAATGTTGTTCCAACGTAGCACTCTGCCTCCAGCCGCTCACCCTTCACGTGAAAGGATTTGCATTTGCGAAGCGGCCCGTTAACGCGCGATGCATGACTCCCAGCTAAACCACCCTCCCTCCCGCTCCCCCCTAATAACATAGTTCACTCCGTCTCTAATTTCTGCAAAATTGAGGTTCCTGCTTCCTGATTAGACGCCCATTATGCTCGGTGTCGCCGGGAGACTCGGAGAGGTGTTGTAAGCCTGGTTTGCGGGTAAACGTGGGCCGGTGACTCGGAATAATCCAACTGGGAAAGAAGGAGTGAAAAGCTGAAAATTGATGAAAGAAAACTGCCCTGTTACTAAAGAGGGCAGTAGGTGTGTGGATGGTGTTTTAAGAAAATGAGCCTGATAGCGCTCCATGCAAAACACTAAAAATTGTTCGGGTGATTGAACAAGACGAATTTTAGTTCGCCTTCAATTTCACGATATAGGCAACAAACAAACCGGAGAGCACGAATAGTTGTCTCTTCGAAAAACGCACATTAATCTCACTCCATCAATTTTGTTATTCCAATCGACCATACATTAGAAATTGTTCGGATGATTGAAAATAGACGAATTTGAGTTCTCCTTCAATTCCTCTATATAGGCAACGAACTTACCGGAGAGCACGAATGGTCGTCTATTCGAAAACCGCACATTAATCTTGCTCCATCAATATTCGGATGATTGAAAATAGATGAAGACAATCGATCCTCCCACAGAGCAGGTAGTCTCACCTATAATCGATCGTAAATGCAAGAAAATGTGTTACCAACATAAGAGAGTTAGCACTAAGCTCGCTCAATAGACGACTGATGAAGTTTCATTATTCGACCCGCTGCTTTAACATCTTATATATGAATTTCTTGCTGGTATAGTACTATCACATCATTTGACGTAGATGATCTATAGGTTATTGATTTGGGTTTCGATGAGACTCATTATCATTTCGCTTAAATATGATTTAATAAACAGTTAAGCCTCGTCTCTTTGTTGGAAATAGAAGCTGGAAAATAGAAGCATGACTTGATAAGCGAAGAGCCACAACTTAAGCCACTTTGCAGCGTGGCCAGGTTTGATCTCGGATTTTTTATAGATTTGAATGTGCAGCCTAAAAAACCTCTATGTTTGATCACCAATGGACCTATACATAGTGTAAGTGTTGAACCCTCACAAGACATACCTCTTTATCAAAATTTCACGTTAAACACGTCGAAACGTCGACCATGTCAACTACCTCCAACATAAACTCATTAGTGAGGAATTAACTTTTGTTGTTCATTTCAGAAACATTTGGAACGTCAGCTAATGAAAAAAGCCCCCTCCGCCCGGCGGACGGCCAGAAATTGGATCAACGTTAATATTCCCTTCTTTTGATCCACAGATTTTTTAAACTTTTCAATAAAAATTCAGCGCAGTATTTTACGCTCGAAATTTCAATGGGAAAGCGTTTAATTTTGTGCGATGGTCCACCGCCAATCTAATCTCGAAAAGTGGTCATTACGACGGACTGCAATTTTGGTGCAATAGTGATGTGTAAATTGGTGCCCTGCCTGAATCGATTCATACCGCACTCATTTTGAGCTTCCGTTTTAACGTGGTGACCGGGGTTTACAGCGTCGAAAATTAAGTGTACTTTTCAACTCTGCCGTGCCAAGGAAAAACGCCGTATGAGCATTCGAGAGTTGCCAAATTTCCTTCAATAAACTGCTTATTTTTTAGGAAAGATATGAATTTTATTCCTTCAACTTTTCAAGGAACATTAAGTGAAATTGCGAACAAAATTTTTTGGAAAATTGGAAGGAAAATATTCATGAGTCTACCAAGAAATTCGTGATTTATCTAAAAAAATTGGCGACTTCTGAAGGATCATACGGCGCTTTTCCTCAGCACGGCAGAACTGATGAACGACTTTTTCCACGGGGCCGACGCTGGCGCATATATTGTCGCTCCTCTGGCGTAAAGTACGTATCTCAATTTCAACGTAAGCCCTGTTCTCCGTATAACGCTATGCTATCCAGGGTTCATGTGGAAATTAAAATACGTCCTTACGTTAGAGGAGCGACAAAATGACCATCACCGGACCGGCCGTTGCTTGCGGTCACAGAGATGGGTCCGCGTTCATGTCACGTGTAGCTTCTGTGTTTTTTGTCACTTCAGTATTGAGTCCCAAATGATTTTAGTTGTTTTTCTGCCGATTTTTTGTGCCTCGGACGTTGTGAGTACCCTTTGATGTTTGTTTACTCCTGCATGAGCGCGATTGAAACTTTGACGCGAAGGGATGAACAAACAAACTAACATTGATTGGAGCCACGATTTACCAGATATTACAGTTTAATGAATTTGCGTATAGTAATTGACTGCATGTAGTGCATGTCCAGCTTTCAAGACCATCACTAACTCTGCTACTGTCTCTGAGCTGGTGGGGTCCTAAATAATTGTTCATATTGAAGGGCTTGCAGGACAAAGCGTGTACGTGCAGGTTTTGCTATTTCGAGAAATACGCCTTTAAAGTTTCGAAATTACATGGATCCTTGCTGCGAAGAGAAAGTTCAAACTGACTTTTTGATGCTTAAAAATTGGAATTTGATATCGAGTTTTTCACAGACTATGCATCAGGACTGGTTTTACTTGAAATCATTAACACCTCAATTTTTTCAAAAACTGCACTTATGCCCCTTGTCCTCCAAGCCCCACACGTGTCCATATACATTTGTATATATGTGATATTTCCGCATTCAAAGCTGTGGTAAAGAATCGATTATTTATGTGTTCGTTGCGGGCACCCTTTCTATCGATCCTTTTCCATTGGTTCAGCAGATCAGATGACAGATCAGTCGATATGTAGCAAAGTGCTCCACGCCACTGCTCACTTTCATTCAAGCAAAGCCCTTCGTTTCTATTTTCATTGCACTCGCTCTTATTAACATCTCTCTTCCACAGAATTCAGGATATGCTCTCTTCAATTTCGTTTTTCGACTAAAGACACTTATTAACAAAAAAAAGAGACCGCCTTACTGATGACTCAGAGATAACTTGGTGCATTGTTGCCAGCTTTGGCGTAATATCTCCATCTCAATTTTTTTAAATTTAAAATTATAAGCGACGGAAAACTTTTACCACGTTGAGTCAATGCGAAGTACTGGAAATTAGCATTGTCACTCATCAATGTACTTGGGTTCCCCATAATGTTTTCAGATCAGACATTATGCAAATCTTATCATTATGAGATGCAAATGTTTAGAGATATTTTACCTTTTGAACGTTGACATTTTATTGATATTGCCAGAAAGGGAGAGAGGGAGGGAGGACAGATTCTGGAAGCCTTAGGCCTCCTAACCCCCTCCTCCATCTTAATACCCGAAATATTTCAGATCGAAAAAGGTATGGATTTTTACAATATTATGTATGTTGGACACCCCATTCAAAGTAACTAATTATGGCTATCCATAGAAAATCACTAGTGACGCCACTGGTCATTGCTTAAATTTCGGCGTGATATCACTCTGATGTCCGTTCGTAGATATCCTCCAGGAGTCTAATGAACACACATATTTCATAAAACTCTTTTGAAAGGAGCATAATATGAGTGGAAATTATGAATGAACACGATCGAATTTCGTTTTATCGCAGTTTTACGAACAGCAGTCTTCGCTTGTAGAGATGATCAACTCTGACCTACATTCATTTGGTTTATAGGTTTGTGAATCGCACGGCAGCTGGCGCCCATTCATACCACCGAAAAATATCAAGGAAGTTAATGTCCCCAGCAACTTCGAAGATGCTCTCAAATCCTCCGCATTCGTTGACAAAACCGGTTTCATTCGTGAATTTTTCGCGAGCAAAGAACCGCTCTACATCTCTGCACCGCATGGTTTCGGAAAATCAACCACCATTGACATGCTCAGAAAATTCTCGGAAGCAAAGGTGATGCAATCCATTCATCTCTGTTAGCACCATCAATTGCCCAAAACTTTTGATGTTAGAAGCTTTTTTTTAGGAAATTTGATTTCTCTTAAACTGTTAGTGAAAAAAAAATTGTAAATGGTATAATAAACATATTCATTACTCGATTAAGGACACATTTTAACAGTTTTTTCGCAAAGAATCTCTTTGGTATATTTATCCAAAAACAAAGTTGAAGGTATCTGAGCGCGAAACATGTCATTCAATCAATCGAATCGATATGTCAATTTTTGCGTTTGTAGCTGTAATATATAGATTATAGCTCCAAACGCAAAGATCCTATTGGATTTGCGAAAGATATATTTTGGGAATAAACGTCTGAAATGTGCTTCTAGCACATCCTAGATCCTTAGCAGATGATCATCCTCAGCAGTGATCCATAGCAGATCCTAGATCATACTCTATGATATAAAATCAAAAGAGTAACGCGTAACTTATAACACTCGAGGCTCAAAATGGTCAGACAGCGTAGCCCCTTAGTCTGGATGGAAACGGGTATTTTTGCAAAAAATGTTTTCGATACCTTCATATTCGCTTACTTCCGCTATAAATTCACCTTAAGGTGCTACTGGTTCATAGAGAAAAAAAGGAGGTGTGTGCATTTCGGTCATCTTGGAATTTTTTTGATGACGTAGGTCGGCACAGCGACTCTTTTATCATCAATTTTCTTGGAAATGGTATAATTTATGGGAAAAAGTCATTCTATAAAAAGTACTTGAAATTATATCATGAGTTGATTTGAGCAAAAAAATGGGACATTGTGGTTCGTTTTTCAGACTTCGAATTCCGGATTTCGCTGACCAGGTTAATTGTACCGACCTACGTCACAGGGTAAACAAACCTCAAGATGCAAACACCTCCTTTTTTTCTCTATGCTACTGGTTACCAAACTTGATCAAAACACATGTTTATGTCTTTTCTTTTCGTCAAGGTGGACGTGAACGGGACTCTGATCGACAGGAACTCTACACGCGACTACAACATGTTCTTGGACAAGCGGCTCGAGGTGACGAGGGATTCGAGCTTTTTCAGCAAACACTTCTGCCAGTACCCGGTGTTGGAGTTGCGTTTTAAGTACTTGATGGCTTCTCATTCCCTCGGGGAGTTCGAGCGCTTCTTTCGCGCAGTCGTTGTTGTTGCCTCCAAGGAGCACTCCTACCTCACCCGCTCCAGCAAACTTACCAAAGAGGAGCGGCAACGCTACAGTATCATCTACAACAACACCCTTAAATCTGCGCCGGAGGTGATCATAGCAGCGTGTTTTTTTCTGCTAAACTAAACACTAAATATAGCACTCAAGTATTCGAGTTGATGGTGATATCGTATTTAGTCTCATTTAAATTTATCTAGAGTTTGCAGAAGAGATTTCCAGACACAGTTTACGTGAATTAGTATATTACCCCCCCCCCCCTTTTTTTTCAAATAAGCAGATGCAGAATCTGTTTTTTTTGTTTTTTTTTTTTAAAGCAGCTTTGATTTGACTGATCTATATTTATTTTTTAAAAGTATAGGCCGAGCCGAGATTCTGAAAATAACACAATGGTAGCGTGTTAAAACAAATATACACATCGCAGGAAGACTTCATGGATGAAAAATCTTAAAAGCGCAAACTCGGCTTTGAGCGCCTTCAAATTCAGCGATACTCTTCACTTCACCAGGCAGTTAGTTTAGTTGCCTACTCAAATCATACTCAACTGAGGTCACTAACTCCACTGCACACACTCGCAAGTGTACTATAGATGTTACAAGTGCCATGCATTGCATTCCAGAAGAGGATGAAAAAATATCTATTTGAATGTTTGACTTTTTAGTCGTTACTCTCTATCTTGACTTTTTACTTACGAATTATTAAGTTTGTTATTCAACCCAATGGGCCAGTTGCGCTGGTAACAGAATCGTGTTTTGATGCTCGAGTCTTGTAGATTAGCTAAAAAGAATAAGATTTGTCCGAACAGAAACTTTCTACGTTCAATATTAACCGAGATATCGTGCTTTGAAAAGTCGGGTTTTTGACGTCATTCACCGCGGTTGTTCAAAACATGGTATGCACTACCGCGGCGGATGTCGTCATAAATCAAGTTTTTCAAGGCGCGTTATCACTCACAGTTAATATTCAACGTATAAAGTTGCTGTTTGGACAGATATTATCATTTTTAGCTAATCTACAAGAATCAAGCATCAAAACACAAATCTGTGACCAGCGCAACTGACCCATTACCTGTGACATACATTAACAAATCTTAAATGAGCATAACACTATGAAATTGGTATACATAATATATTATTACTCTCCTTTGATAAATTGATACATATTTTTTCCCATCAATTTAAATGAGAATAATCAATGCAGAGTGTGCAAACATTGCAAAATCATGAGTTAAAAAACGGTGACTATGCGAGTATAAATATTAAAGCCGAACAGAGCGGAGCGGCGTGCTGCCAGCGCGAGAGACTCACTGGCGCCTACAAACCTAAGTGGATACTTCACGCATTGCACAATGCTTGAAGTATCCACTTAGGTTTGTAGGCGCCAATGCGCGTTTCGCGCTGGCCGCCCGTTCGCCGTGCGGCGGCGCCTGGAGCAAGTATTTCACAACAGAGTTGTTGCACACAACCTTCAGCGTTTTGCATATTGTAACCATTGTTTTTCACAATGTCACTAGGTGATGGCCAAGGAGATGACAGCCCTCCTGCACGCTCACTTCAAGAAGAAGTGCATCGTCCTTATCGATGACTTTGACTCGAGCCTTGTCCAAGTGTTGGCCAGTCACGAGCTCCCCATCGGCGATGCCCGGGCCATCTTCGAAATGCTCCAGAAATTCTTGACAGTTGTGGTCAAAAAGAACAACCACCTCGAGAAAGCACTCATCACTGGTTGCGTACACCTTGTCTCTGAAGCAGCCGATGCCCATCCGGGAGGCGTTGGCATTCGCAATGTGGTCTTTGGGCAGGACGAGAAAATTGCCCGATATTTCGGCTATACAGATGACGAGGTTAGTATATGATTCAGTCGCCGTGAGCCAATATTTCAGCTATTCTATACTCTGTTCCATTTTGGAACGGCCCTCTCAACTAGGGCCATGGTGGCTCAGAATGTGGTTTATTCAAAGCTACCGAATTTTGAAAAAATTAGATCGATGCAAATGGAAGATTAATAGGCCAATTCGCGGAATTGCATTTTGTGCCCCCCCCCCCACCCGCCCCATCCATTTAAACTAATGGCGTTTTTATTCAAAATTTTGATTACTTTGTTGGATATTCAAAAATGCCTCGAATAGTTTCAAATTGTATGTAAACATGTACTTGTACACATAAGTAGAGCCACTCGCCACCTATTAAGACTCGATTTTACATTAATCATAACCGGAATTAAGTCGCACCCTACTGGTGCGCTTTTATCTTTTGTTAACTGAGGAAATGTTTTTGGTTTCAATGCTTACACTTCATTTTGAATTCGAATGCAGGTATTGTATCTATCTCGTAAAACGAATAAAGACTATCTCATGGATGTGATACGAGCATGGTACGGAGGATACATAGTCATGAATAGTAAAATAAGGCTTTTCAACATGATTTCAATCTCAACATTTTTCAAGACAGGAAACATGTCCAGCTTTTGGGCTGATGGTCCCGAAGTAAATTCTACCAAATCCATTAGTTTTATTTTCGACTACAAAATTATTGGTGACGAAGTAAGTACCTTCTAATATTTACCCTTTTTTTGTGTTTTAAAATCTTGAATGTTCTTGAACCTAAACAAAATACGTGCAACTTCATTTTAAGAAAGATGATTTGGCGCCAGGCGCCGTTTTTTCGAAAACACTTTAATAGTCTTGGTCAAATATCTGCGAGAAATGCCGATTTCTAACGAAGAAAGGAAAAGGAGGAAGACATTTTGACGTAAATTATCCGAGTCCGAGAAGTGTGTGAAAACCTTCGTGGAGAGGGAGAGGAAACTTTTACCTCAGAACATTAAAAAGACAGAAGTTATGGACGGATCCTCTGAAAAAAAAATCACCATTTTATAGTTAATTTATAAAATTATACACATTAAGTCACTTTCACAGCGTAGCCTCGCGCTCTGCGACGCCCAATCGCCATTATAAGGCTAACTTCTTTCTTCGTGTAATGCACTATTTCGTCGCTTGACTGAGATAAGGGCGTAACTACACATTGCGATAAGCTCGGGAAAGCATCGCGGTATATGGACAACAGGGTTCATCGCGTAGTGTATTTACGTCTTCATGTCAGGAGGGCGACGGTTTATAACACATCTTTGAAGGCGCTTTTTTTGTTAATTCCGAAGGTACGGAAATCTTTGTCCCAAGACGTAATTCGAATTAAACTTGGATCTCCTCTCTCGAGGGCGTTCTCAGTCGAGGCAATAGTCGGTCTCGTGGAGGAAGCATGGTTGTACAAAGAGACGAATGGTGACCGCCTCATGACGCAGAAGGGACTGTTGATGAAGTATTTGACTGACCACGGCTACTACTCCGCTTTCTATGACTTGGACCCCGCTCATGATCAGGTCTTTTCGGCCTTCATCCCCAACTACGAGATCCGCGGTCTTCTCGATAGTTTCATCTACACGCCGCTCTTCTTCAAAAGCAAGTACAATCTCACCGAAGTTGCCATCGGGGCGTTTATCCAATCGCTCTTTAATCTTACGCAGGCCGAATCTGGGTGAGTACCTCTTACTCAAGGAGAATATTTCTAGGAATTGTTAAAAAATAAAGTGCGTCAGATGATGGAAGTCGAAAATGACATTGTATTCGACGTCATAACCAAACAGCTTGTCTAGTATATGGTCATGTTAATATGACGGAAGGAAGGCTATGAAAGAAGATGCTTGATTGGGTCCTTGCTGGGAGGTGCTGGAGGGGTCGTCCAGTGAAAGGGTGGCGGCAGGGGGTTTTAGAGGAAATGAGGTAGCGCTAATTCCCGAGTTGGGAGGATAGAGAACTTTGGCGGCTAGGTATCGCAGAGCGTCAGAGGGCGCTGTGAAAACGGATTTTATGTATGTATGTAAGTTGCGAACCAGCTCACGGTATATCTATTGAAGCATATCACATACTTTTAGAAGGAAATATTAATCTAAAACAGTGCTCCAATCACGCCATCGGCCGGAAATAGCCGAAAGTACCCGAACTGATTCCGTGAGAAACAGGTGGTTGATGTTGCTAAGGAGGCAGAGAGGGAGTATCAACGGGTACCAACTATCTTGATAAGATCATTAAAGAGTGCCTCGGCGACGTCATCAATGGATGGCTTGATAACGGCATCAGCCAGATTTAGCCAATAGATGGCAGAAATGACCGAAAATACCCGCGAGACTACCGGAGGTAACAGAGGGTTGACGCCGCGTCCGGTAGGAGGGCGGTGGGAAAGAAAATGGTGGGTAGGATAGGAAATTAACAACTCTTAGGGGTTGATATCATCCCAAAATGTCCTATACACTTTGCTGTTCATTTTGCCTAAAGCTTGATTATATATTTCACCTCCCATGCTCCTAGCTTGCAATATGGTTTTCATCGAGTGTGTGAATCGCTTCCAAATCAATCTTCTGTGAATGAAAAATCGGAAAGAGTAATCAAATTAAGGATTCAATTATTGGTCTTCCAGGTACAAAGACTTAGCCATGGCCATGTCAAAGCTGATCGCAAACGTTCCTACTGGTGAGGGCGCTGCAGAGTGGATTCGGATGTTGGCCATCTTCGCGGACTACTCTGAAAAATTCGAGTTCATCGGTCGTGAGATGCTGCCCGATAAGGAGCAAGGCCAAAACCTCATCATCATCACGAAAGAACCAGAGCTACCAAACGGAAAGGGCCCTCGCACGGGTATCCTCATAAGGGTCATGACCGATGAAGGGTCAGCGCAAGTCGCGCTTGCAGATATCCTCAGGCACGGTTATCAGGGAATATTCGAAGAAAAGCTCAAAATGGTAAGCATGTTCGTACGAAAAAAGCTCAAGCTTGCCTCGAGTACCTAGGTCAGTAGCCTAGAGCAAAAGACTCGTGGTGAATATTTCAGGAAAGGATACCGTTTCCTCAAGAGAGTTTCAGAGTGGATTATATGTTTTACATGAGCATGTATCTAGAATCGAACGAGAAGATTTGAATCTAAAACCGAAGCTGGAATTAATATCGTTAGGTTGTAGTGAGATTTTTTGTGCGAAACTAGATTTGAGTGCAACAACGAACCTTGTGAGGCACAAACCTTCAAATCACTACGTGATGGTTGCTCTCTGGCCTTCTCAAAGAAAAATATGTGGCTTTGTAAACCAATTAGTGGTTCATTTGGGACATCACAATTAGACGTAAATGAACTATGATTCTTAGTCTGCGAACCATAGTTACTAAGGTACTCGTACTAAGGTATATATACCATCACTAAGGTGTATAGGCCATAGCCTGGTTGCTGATCGTAGTAAACTAATTATCTATTATATGTTGCCTTTAATGCTGTTAGTGGTGTTCCATATATGAGCCACTAATACTAAATGGCAGGGCCGGATTTTCCTTCTTGCCGCCCATGGGCCACCTGTATTTTGCCGGCCCCTTCTCATTCGTTTCGAAACATTAATAAAAACCATCTAGTGAACGTGCCCAGCGGGGGAGGGGTGCACAAGACGCGTTTACTCGTGTTGAACACATTTTTTGGGAAAGCCCTGTCAACACTACTAGCAAAAGGTCACGGAACTTTGCGCGAAAGTCAAGTTTCGTAAACCTATCTCTATTGGACAAGGCTTTTCATTCATAAGAAATGAACGAAAAAATTATGAAAGAACAAACACAAAATTTGGTTTAATGATTTTAACTTCCGCCGCCGCGCCGCGCCGACCGCACCGTGTTTGGCGCAATGCGTGAAGTATTTTTGCAGTCTTGTAGGAGCTATGCGTTTCACGCTGACCGCACTGTATTTGGCGCAATGCGTGAAGTATTCGTGCAGTCTTGTAGGCGCTAATATGTGTTACATGCCGATTGCCGCGCCGAGGGCTTCTTTCTCCTTTTCATCTCAAGTCCTCGTCATCATTTCTCCCTTAGTCGCCGAGTTCCACGCCAAATTGTGTATTTGGTTTCTCTCTTAACTCGACTAATTAAAGGTGTTGTCTCTTGTATCACTGAAAGACGACAAAATTAGAAATTATACTCTCAGGAACTGAGAGATTTTGTAGGCTTTTCTCGTTTGTAATTTTTTTTTCTAAATCTGATTTTTTTATACATAGATTTAAAAAAATTGCAAAATTAGCCGCCCCCTAGATTTGCCGCCATAGACAGCGGCCCACGTGGCCACCCCCTTAATCCGGTCCTGCTAAATGGTTTATGAGCCATAGCTTTTTCTCAGTGTACCTCGAAAATCGTAAGATAAATAGCAACTCCGCAACTCTTTCGAGTCAATTAATTTTTCTTTCTCCACTTTTTTAGTTGGAAATTGCCTCTAGTTCCAATACTTAACAAAGTTAATGGCTCATTATTTCAACAAACCCAAAATTTTTATCGGTTAGAGCTTTAAATATCGCATTTGGTCCTTACAATTCCCATTATAAGCGTTTGAGATTTTAATTGCTAGAGGGTTACTAATCCTTTGTTTCTTTATCGGGAACTACGTGATTGACACTTACTTTCTTTTTCGCCCGATGAATTTTTTCGGTTGTCACTCTTAAACGATGGGCATTTCGACTTCTGTGGAAGTCATCATCAGGTACTTAAAACTAACAACGAAAATAAAAATAAAAAAACCGAAGCTAAAAACTGACGTTAAAATTCACGTATTATCGCCGGCGACGCGTCGCGATACGTCACGTAGTTCCCGATTAAGAAACAAAGGATTAGTAGTTAGTAGTAGTAGTGTATTTAATTTGTCAAATTTTAAATTTTAAGGGGTTGTTCTGAAATAAAATTTCACNTGACTTTCACAGAAGTCGAAATGGCCATCGTTTAAGAGTGACAACCGAAAAAATTCATCGGGCGAAAAAGAAAGTAAGTGTCAATCAATGCTAGAGGGTTATTTAATTTGCATGAAATGGTAAGGTTTGCCTTGGTAGGCTAACATGCGAATGACATGTTTCGGCTTAAACTCACCGAGAGAAACTAATCACGAGAGATTGCGCCGAAAAGTTTGGATTTAGTGGGCACCAAAATAATAAGTTACATGCTACAAAAAAAGCACCCTCGGCCGCCTGACGGATGGTTGTAACTGATGTTACTTCTACATTAGGAAATTAAAACTTAATCGTTTGCCCCCATAGATTCATGAAACCGACAGCAATAGAGAAATTTGGACTTATTTTCTCTGAAAATAAGTTTGAACAAATGAATCACATCAAAAGGAATTATACATGCATAGATTTCTTGTGCGTTATTATACCCTTTGCTTTAATTCATCTGTAAGTAATTCCTTTTAGCATAAAAGGTCCATTTAAAGATTAAAGAATGGTACGATGTAAAGAAAGACGGTCCCCAAAAAATGCTGACATGTGTGCACGACTGTTTGAAATGACATATCGATGACCAAACAGCAAAACCGCGTATTTCCGTGTGCAACGCTGCAGACTTCCTGTTATTTTTTATTTTTAATTTGGAAAACTGGTCAACGTAACATCTTGAGAATCGCCATAATTTTTCTTCTCTTTTAGTGGAATATTCTGCATAAATTTCAAGTTATAAAGTTGGCTTCTTTCTCTTTCGAAAAAATAATATCGGAGCCAAAATTTTTAAACACCGCAATGGACGTACGTGGTTTTGCACTTTGGCTATCGATATTCAAAGAACGGCAAATGACATCGATATTCAAAGAACAGCAAATGATACACGCTACTAATGCCTAATTTTACCCCATCTTCACAAATTAAACCCCGCCTCTATTAGACTTAAAAGGTTCTTTGGAGATTGTGAGGAACATTTTTTTTAAGTTTCCGTGACACTTATGGATTCGTTGAACTTATTGGTCACAACTTTCTTTTTGTGTAAAATGAGAGGCTTTCTCTTACTGAATTTTCAGAGGACGAAGAATTTACACAAAAAGTGATCACCTCTCTTATGCTCAGACTGTATAAATAAGAGAGACGGTTGAACATGCCTTCAATCTTTTTCTCCCGATCTTAGAAGAGAGCCTTTGAATTTTTTCTTATCAATCCCAATTGATGTTCAACAAAATTTTAAAGACCCCTCTGGAACATCGAGAAATACATTTTTCTTTTGAAAGATTGAAGCATTTTTTCAATGATAGTTTCTCTCTTTCTTATTTCTATTCACACGGATAAAACTTTTGCAGTATTTTCATTTAGTCTAATGACAAACTGTGTCTACTTTATTTTCAGCTGCCCATTGGGAACAAGATCCTCATCGGGGTGCACCTTGCCTCAGATCAACTGGTCTCAATGAGGTACTTAAACGGTAGCACTAACATCGAGCACGCCCGTAATGCGACCAGCGATCAGAAATAACAGGTCCTTAGAATTGAATATCATGGGAAAAAAGACAGATACTCTCCAGTGTGGTAAGAAACTCAAAATAAAAATATTTGTTTGGTCCCTATCTCTTTCATTCTCATTCGGAAGAGAGAGGTATTAGGAGAGGTACGGTTAGTGCTGGGTATTTGTAAATGAATGAATATACGTTGTTACTCACGGAATGTGTCACATTCAATTTGGCAGTAAAAAAGTGAATTTAGGAGATCTGCACAAAAGGGCTCTCCGGACACCATTTTGAGCCATCCAGACAGTGCCTCAAGCATTTTGTTTTAACACCCACATTTCCTCCAGAAAAGCACCCTCAAGCCGCTTTTAGAGCACCTCTTGACACCCTTAATAATTACGTCCCCTTTTTAGAAAAAAAAAGGAAAATGTCTGCGTTTTACAAAATAGACCCAGTTCAGTACGCGAGAAAATTTCCAATTTTTACATCTATTCTATGATAGATTCCCGGATTTATGCGAAGATCTTACAATTTCTATTGAATCCCAGTATTTTCACCGGTTCTTCTAAGTTCTGAACGCTGTGATCGCATTGAGAGGCTTGGGGGACAAGGCCGAAAAGTCCAATTTTCGAAACAATTGAGGTATTAATTATTTCAAGTAGAACTAGTCTTGATGCATTTTCTGTGAAATTTGCTCCTAAATTCCAGTTTTTAAGCATTAAAAAGTCAATATGAACTTTCTTGCCACCATAAGGATCCGTGTAATTTTGAAATTTCCAACAAGAATTTCTCGAAATAGCAGAAACTTCACTCCTATGCTACCGTGCTAAGAAAAAAACGCCGTATGAACATTCAAAAATTGCCAAATTTCCTTCGATGAAATGTTCATTTTTGAGAAGAGTTGTAATTATTTTCTCTTGAGATCTTCAGATAATTTAGATCTAGTTGCAGATGAAAATCTCTGAAAAATTGGAGGGAAAATCTTCATTAATTTCCGTATACGTAGGAATTTTATCCATGAAGATTTGGCGACGCCTAAAGGCTCATACGGCGTTTTTCGTTATCATGGCAGTATGCTCCTTGTCCTCCAAGCACCTCATTTCTTCCTCTAAAATCAGGTATAACTGATACCGCGCAGAGGAGTTTAGGAGACGACAGTTTCTTGGTGAAACCACGGACTGAGACCGGCGGAAACGGAGCCCGAGAAAACAGGAAGGTTTTTTTTTCCCTCGATGATCCCCGCGGCGCACTCTTTTCAGGCATCCGGCTAATTAGCTTGAGTATATTTTCTCGTATAATTTGATGGATGAAGACAATATGTTGCGATGGAAACCTGGTACTGGCGACGCGCGGGTCCAGCCGAAACATTGAATCGTAAACCCGCGTAAACCCTCCTCGGCCCCGCATGTTTCCCCCTCGAAATGCTCCGATGGAGTTGTCGGGTTTACGGTGTAATTCTGATTTTATGCAAATGGATCAGTCTTCCAGTCATTGGGCCTTTTCCCTCGGCCTGACTGACAATGAGTGAGGACTGACCTCCACCAATCAGAAGGTCCAGTTACACGATCAAATTGAGCCATCAAATTGGGCCTCTCATTGGTCGCATCCTCACCTCAGGTCTTTTTCCACCAATCAGAGCTTCAGTTTGATGGCTCAATTTGATCGTGTAACTGAACCTTGAGTGGTCAAATTGAAATTGAGCGCGTTTAGGAAGGAACCAAGCCACATCAGCTATTGCTGACTTTCATCAAACAATTTCATTTTTTTACCAGATCGTTCGTACGGATTTTTTTGAACATTTTGAAGGACTCTCTTCGTACTGTGCAGAAAATTCATCGAAATTTGCGAAGGTATTTCGCCTCGAAAAACCGTACGACTGTTTTCATGTAAAAAATCAAACCGTTCAATCAAAGTTGAAAACAGCTGATGTGGTTTGGTTCCAATCTGCTTAACGCAGTCCAAGCGTTCACAGGTAGAGGAGCTTTATTGAAGCATACAGTATGAAGAGAAGAGTACCTACTTCTCGAAAAAACTGATATAATTGCCCCAAAAATAGTGGTTTTGAAGCTGCATCCGAATAGATAGAAAAAAATTGAGAAAAATTAAATTTTGAGGATCTATTTGTGTAATTTACTTTTCCAAAATTTTAAAATGTTCAAAATATCGACTAAAACTGAATAAAATTAGTTACTCAAAAGTTTTTAACCCCAGGCCGGATCAAACCAACCCGAGGTTTGCTAAAAACATGTACCCCGTGGGTTGTATGGGGCCGGTGCCTAGAAGGTTCAGATCTGATGTTAAATTGAAAAAAAGAATAAAAATCGAGTGTCAAAACAGCCGAATATAGAAGAAACGTAATTAGGCTTCGCTTTCAACTTTTCTCCCTAATCTGAGCGGCACCTCGTTAGCAGCAAAGAGCAAGACATACCTAGCGAATTCACGCCTCGCGTCATCGCGCCTTCAATTTCGCAGACGCAACACGGACATCCATCAAGCACGAATAGTTGTATCTCTGCGCCGTCGTCAATGCGCGTATTTTCCTTCCTTTATTTCCATATTGTATTGGTTCCGTCTGTTTTTTTTTAGTGGGGTGTTTTTTGAGAGTAACATGAGCAACACGGCCAAAGATAGGAGAAACGTAATGAGGCCTCGTTTTTAACTTTTCTGTCGAATCTGAGCGACACCTCATCGGCAGCAAAGAGCGGGCCATTGCGAGTATCACGCCTCGCACCATCGCGCCTTCAATTTTGCAGATGCAACACGGACATCCATCAAGCACGAATAGTTGTATCTCTGCGTCGTCATGAATGCGCGTCTTTTTTGCTCTATTTTCATATTGTGTTTGTCTCTGTTGGAAACAACACGCATTGGAACACATCACAATCACCTGAACTCTGTCGTCATCTTCTTAGTTTGAATTGTGTCCAAAAGAATTCTGCTCTCAAATATAGAAATTTATAGACAAAACGATAGACAAGCAACACAAACTGAAAATAAAGCGATCGTATTGGTGGAAGCAGATGGTTGCAATCAAAGGAGGTAAGTGGTAAGTAATAGACTAACTGAAGACAACCCACGAAAGACCCTGTAGCTAATAATCTATCATTTTCCTTCTTAGTCTATAACAACCACCCGTTTAACCAATAGAATCGTTATGTTCCCTATGTCTTCTGTGTCTATTGCTTTGCCTTATTTGTTTTATTTGCTTGCTCAATTTCAATAATCAGCTCGCTGGAAAGTCTGAAATTCGTAAACTACTAGGAAAGCGACACATTTTTTCCAGTTCTATAAGGATTCAGATAGCGATTCTCCTCCGAATTAGGGATCTTAGCTCTGATCTCTTTTCAGATAAGGTAAGGAAAGATAAAAACAGAAATCAATAATATAACATAACAAAGCTGTATATAAAACTTAAAAATTTATTTCAAATAAATAAACAGAAACAACCCAAAAAACAAATAGACAGATCGCTGACACCAAAATCCCTCGAGCATTTTAAAATAGAAAAGAAGGAGGAGGGAAAGGCAACGAAGCAACTTCTGCGCGTCATCCCTTCCAATGGACCGGAAAGGGTAAGTCGTTGGCAATAAGCCGGAGTTAAAACCCTTATCATGATTGATACACCCCTTCCTGCTGGGCCACGGTGGCGTGTGTAGGTGAGGTATACGTTCAGTCGGCCAACCGGCTGTTATAATAATAAATTAGAGGTCCGACGGCCTAACCTGTCCGCGGATATTGATGGCTCGAAATCCTTCAGTTCCTCGACTTGGCATCTTTCAGTCGCGTAACGCGCTTGCTAATCGAGCTACATTCTATCGCTCTGACTAAAAACGCCGTATGAACCCTTAGGGGTCGCCAAAATTCCTTCAACAAGAAACGAATTTACCGGGAAAATTGTGAATACATTTTTCAAAAATTTCAGACAATTTTTTTTCGCAATTTAATCTAAAATATCTGAAAATTTCACGGAAAAATATGCGAAAATTTCGTCGAAAATACAGGTTTTCTTCGAGGAAATTTGGCAACTCTAGAATTTTCAAAAGGGGTTCTCCCTTAGCACGGCAGCATTGATTTTGGATCCCCTCGTTTTTCCTCCCCTACCCCCGTTAGGAGTAAAAATTACCATCAAAAGGGGGATGTGATTTCGAAAATATCACTGCACCTACACAATCAGAAGACAGCTAAGTTTTCTTTTAATGCCTCTACCTACTTTGGAGATTTTGTATTTTAAACTACGAGAATCCTTTCGGACGGTTAACTTCAATTTTTTTTTCGGTGCATGACGTTCTTTAAAAATAAATGTTTTCTGGGGGAAATATGGCAACATTCGAATGCTCGCACTGCGTTTTTCCTTAGCACGGGAGTATACCATCGAAACACTAATGACTAGCACAACTGCGCCATTGCCACCACGAAGATTCGCAGAGGCACTTTTCCGAGGGATCCAATCCTTCTGCGGGAGGGTCCGAATTTTCGTGGGCGGCGAGAGGAGATTTCAGGTCCGGGGCTTCGGGGGCGAAATTGCGAAAGGCGCGAGGAATCGGCGAGGGAGAACCGGGGCCGCACAGTGGATCGAGTCGATTCAAGAGGTCAGACATGAGATTTTCTACTAAAACTGAAAATTTTGCTGTTTTTTTCGTCGAATTTTATGCTATAAAGGGTGCTTCATACAGAAAATTTCACGAGGAAACCAATGGAACTACTTTTAGAACCTCAAAGGTTTGAATAAAGAGAGTTATAAGTGTTTAAAGTTTCCGAATTTTGTCCGGCCTCTCCTATTGACTGGATCCACTGTGGGCCGGGGCGAGGGAGGGCGACCACAGCCGAGTGGTTAACCGGGACACGTGCGGAGCGTAATGGAGAAAATAGTTTGAAGACGATTACCCAAAGGCAAGGGCCCGGCTACGGACGTCCATAATGACCGTCGGGCAAATTATTCTCCTTGGCTGAATATTTTATGAACGCCGTGTCCTCAGGCTCCGACTCAGACACTCCGTTCCCACTCAGCCATCCGCCATGCACGTCTTAGCATCCCGAGTTGCGAAATTTTAGCATCTCAACGTGGATCTTCTCAGAATGGAGGGGGAGGGGGGTTTGTTGCAAACTTCGCCTAAATGAAGATAAGGGTCATTTCTTGCGGAAAATGGCTTAGAAATCTGCCGTGCTAAGGAAGAACGCCATATGAGCCTTCAAGCGTTGCCGAATGTCTTCCGATAAAATACGAATTTTCAAGGAAGCTGTTAAATAATCTTCTTTTAATTTTTCAGAGAATTTCACACGCTGTTTGATTTTAAAGTATGTGAGAATTTCAAAGAAACATGCATATTCATTACTTCCTTCGAAAATTACTGCTTCAGTAAGGAAAATTTAGCAACTCCTGAAGGCTTATACGGTGTTTTTCCTTAGCACGGTAGAAATAGAGACGAATGCATTGGTATGGCCTGCAGAACTATCGTGCTAAGGAGGAACATCGCACGAACATTCGAGGGTTGCCAAATTTTCGTCCGTAAAATGTTCATTTTTGAGGTTTGTTATGAATATTTTCCCTTGAATGTTTCAGGACTTTTCGATGGAATTGCGAGGAAAATTATCTGAAAATTGGAAGAAAAATATTCATATGTTTACTAGGAAACTCGTGTTTCATCAAAGGAAGTTTGACAACGCCGTTCATACGGCGTTCTTCCTTAGCACGGCAGAGAAGTTCACTCCTCACCTCAAAATCTGTGTAAAAAAGTGCATTTTGGATTGTTAAGTGCTGAAATAGACCATGGTGTGCCATGGTCATCATGTTGTCACCAACATTGACTCAGCGGGGTACCAGTTTGGTACTGGTGAGTCACACATTTGACGTCAACGTGGTATCAACTTGGTTCCTAAATTCGTCGTTTTCCTCAGATAGTAACGTAACTTTATTTTAATGTTGCCAAATTGCCCCTCACACTTCTTGTTTTAACCCGAAAACTCTTGGGTATTTCTAACTAGAAATTCGTTGGTTTTTTTCTCTCGTGCAAAAATCAGAATTTGGGACAAATATTGCACAGGTACCTATGTGCTCGTGAAAAAAGTATTTTTCGTCAATATTGGTATAGAGTTACCTTCCCTTGTTTGGAAAACAATGAATTGTACCATGTGTGTACCACATTGATCACTGTTGGTCCACAATGACCAAGATGGTACCATGTTGATGACGACATAAATCCGCCAAGGATATCGCACAATAATACTTCAAATCGACAATACTATTAGTATACTAATTTATCCCATCAATACCATGTTGATACCACGAGGATACCATACTGGCGTCAACACGGTACCGCGTGTCACTCACACACATGGTCGATTTTAGTAGGATCCCGTTCTAGACAGTGCATTACGGCAAAGACATGATTTGATACATTAAACACTTTTGACACTGTTCCATTATGCTATAAGACAACGACATACTTACTTTTTCTCTGTAAACAGATCTTAAAAAGCAGATGCGTGAAATGTTTGTCATTTTGTTTGTTTTTAATCGAAAAAAAACGTCACGAGACGACTGCCATTTTGAGTGACGCATTCAGCTACAAGACCGGGATGACTCATTCGTACCTAAGAATGTCTTTGTCGTGGCATACTTTTTGAGGAGGAAGGCACAGTAATGCGAAAACGTCCGAGAATTCATCTAAAGAGGGGACGGGGCCCTACACATCTCCCCGCGAGAAAACTGATTCGGAGAGATAGATTTTTTCAGGAGGAAAAAAAAGCAGGGAAAACAACACTTTCCTCGCCCAGCTGACCCGCATCGCAATGCACGGGTACAAAAATGTTAATTCGCCGGAGATTATACATTCTGAGGTATGAAAATACGTAATTAAGCATGAAAATTCTGCATCGTCCTTGCCCTTGATTCAGACACAGTTATTTTTTGCGATCGAGCGAGCGCCTTTTTGAGCGAACCAGGGTCAGTTACCAGGGAACACCCGCTGCACTCCTGAAATCCAAAACCGCACATCTGCATCGCAACGTTTCGACATATCCGCGCATACTTCAGTTTTTGAAGGGGAAACGAATCAACCTATCAGTTGGAGATTTTCACAGATTCTCCTTCACCAGTGTATGATCATTCTGTGCGAATATCAAGCCTTAATGTTGGTTTTTGGCCGTTATGGAAAGTAAAATACGCGCGGAAAATTCGAAACGTTGGAATAGAGATGCGCGATTTTGGCCTCGATGGTTGGTGCATCGGAGTGGACAGGGGACAAGCGGGAGAGAATGGGCGATATATTAAATTACAGGCGCATTTCCAAGCTTTAAAGCGGCGCAAAAAACCAATTGGCCGAGTAAGGACCCGTCAGCGTTGCATTGAGGTAGGTAAACTTGAGTTTTTTCCCCTTTTTTTGATCTCTCCCTCCGGTCGTGGATGCATGGATGCACCGGTTGGCGGTGGCGCGGCTAAGACGTTGTCATTCCAGAACGTCTGCGCCCGTCCCATTTCTGTCATCCGGGATTAAGCCTGGCGCGTTAACCGTCGGGAGATTTACAAATCGCCGGGACAGAATGTCACTCAGTCGAGTATGAAATTGAGCGGGCGCAGCTGTGCTCGTAACACCGCTCGCTGTCTCGCCGGAGCCCGCGCCCGCTCAAATCCACGGCCGCGAGATTAATTATCATAAGTGGACTCGAATATTTATCGAAAACGCGCCTAGATATCTCAATGAACCATTAGACAAGCTAAGATTTCACGCATTCTGGTATACAGGGCGATCCAGGGTCAAACGGTCAGACTGCAGGAGCATTGGCGAATCCAGCGATTTGGCAACACCGGATTTCCTCCATTTAAACCTATGGAAAAGTATCGATTCTTAGTGGGGCCAGGTGCTCCGACAAGAATCGATTATTTTATCATATGTTTAAATTGAGGAAATCCGTTGTTGCTAAATTGCTGGATCCGCCTCTGTGCAGGAGCGTGTTCTATGAGTCAAAATAAGACTTTTTTGCTGTATAAAGTTTTTCCAAAAGTGCCCCCAGTCGGAGCTACGCCCTCCAAAAAAAAAAAAAAAAAAAAAAAAAAAATTCGGAAAGTAAATCGGTTTTCCTGAATTTTGGCAATGGTTGTGAACCAAATCTCATAAAAAATTGTATTCCTTTGTACTTTTATGCCCTGAATTCATGAATGATCTTTTAAAAAAAAAATCGAAATTTAAAGAGGGGGTTTGGGGGTGTTTCGGCTCCTGCAGTCTGACCGTTTAACCCTGCATCACCCTGTATAAGAGGCTCTTCGGGCTGATTGTTGACATCGATAGATAAAAAGATAGACAAAGAAGACAGATAGACATGGGAGGGATCCTATTGGTGGAAACGGATGGTAGTAATGGCAAAAGAGGTGATTAATAGACTAGAATCGGCACATGACGGCAATCCGGAGAGACCTTTGGGAGAGACCCTTTAGTTAGTCCATCATTTTCTGCCTTAGTCTATAAGAACCAACTTTTCCAACCGAGAGGATCGCTCAATTTTCTCTATGTCTTCTTTACCTACGGCTTTGTCTATCAATCTCAACCATCAGCTCGCTGAGAACAAGGACCAAAAGTGGCAGATTTACGTCTCCAAAGTTTCACGGAGAACAGGATTCGCGCAACGAAAATTCCTGAAATCAATCTCTTGTAAAATTTTGATGAGGAAATATTATTATTCTAATGCTGGTAAACTCGCACCGTGTCTGGTGACCCATTGAGGCGTTTAGGTACTCGCACCCTCCTCCACAAAATATAATAATCGATTCTTTGCTAGGGCTTCAAATAGGAAAATATCGGCAGCTGATTAAATAATCGCCTATCGATATTTTCCAATTTGAAGCCATGGAGAAGAATCGATTATTATACGCCTCATACCACTGGGGTAGTGATCTCACGACGCTTGCTTGTGAACTCGCACCTTGTCTGGTGATAATACTCGTACCTTTCTCCGGAAAATATGATAAATCGATTCATTGTAACGGCTTCAAATACAAATTGATCGATAGCGGATTGAAAAATCGAAGATCGATATTTTCCTATTTGAAGTCATGGAAAAGAATCGATTATTACTCGATTATTTATTACCACTGGGGTAGTGATCTCACGCCGAGCACGGCGCGCGCGGCAGGCATCCCGCCGCGGCTTTCGCTGGTTAAAGATGGAAGATTAACGCATAATTGAATGATAGCTTTTCAATTAATCGATCGTGTCGACTAATTATTTCGGTATGATTAGTTGATTAAGCGATTTTTTCCTCATTTAACCTCCCGCCTGTAACCCGATGGTTGCAGGTTGGATCCTTTGTATCATTAAATTAAGACTTGTCTCAGTCGGGATTCTTTACACGCATGTGTATCGAATTTTACCTTTTAAACCTTTGAAGAAGGTTCAAACGAAAGGGGTCTATTTACAAAATCATGTTTAAAACCATGTAAATTCCATTAACCTACCTCGACAGATACGCGTTTTTCACATCTGGAAGCTCATTTTATTGCTCCTGAACACGGAGCTTATTTTAATTTTCTCGTGGGCGCTGGAAAGCATTGAGTCATATGGACGATACAGCACAACTCAAAATACAGTTACGCCCTTAAGTCAGGGAAGCGAAGATTTAGACGTCGTCAGGCGGCAGGTTCAACTAACATCTTCATCTTCAAACTTTGAGCTGTATTTTCAACCCATCAGTGGAGTTTTTGCTGTATTTTGAAAATAATACGTGCTTGAAGTTTTGACATTACATGAATCCTTGTGGTGGAAAGAGAGTTCAAACTGACTTTTTGATACTTAAAAATTGAAATTCAGGAGCAAATTTTTCACAGACAATGCATTAAGACTAGTTTTACTTGAAATCATTAATTTCTCAATTTTTTAAAAACTGCACTTTTACCCCTTGTCCTCCAAGCCCTTCATTTCTCGGTCTGCCTTAACTGAAAATTTAGTAAAAACTTAATGAAATAAATGCAAATGAACCCTCAAAAGAGCTCATTATGTCAATATTCAAATTTTAATGAGTTTTAGATTCATTTTTCCGTTGAAAGTGAACATATCCAAATTCTTGAAAATTGAAATTTTCTGTGAGGTATACCTGAACTGGAGCTAGGAGGAAAGTTTCTGCTCTGATATTTTTTCGTAATCAAAAATCAGTTGACGGGAATTTAAAAGTTGCTAATTATTTGGAATAAATTAACAAATCGAACGGTACTCCTCGAACCTTCCATGACACTTTAATAACCTTTGAAGTGCAAGTCGCTCAGGCAACTGATTTTTCCTTTATTTTTCTCAACACAGAGCTAGTATTGTAAATCCTACGATTCCCGTCAAAAACGGAGTCTCTCTCATCCAACCCAAGACTCTTCGCAGAAATATTGAACTTACTTCGGAGAAATTCAATCTCATCTTCTGTAAATCCATAAAACTCCCAGTACGGACTCTCGTCGAAAATACAGTAGTATTGTAAATTATCAGCAGTAGTCAGGTGCTTTGCTGCTACTTTTCTACAACCGGTCAAAAAAGACCTAGCAACGTGTTTACCGTTCGTTCTCACCAATCTCCCAATGAATAGTGCTAAATTTTTGATAATAGAATTTGCCTCAGTTGAATTCTTAGCCTCCAGAGCCCGCCAAAATGGCACGTCGTAATCATCCACAAGAAGCACACACTTAGTCTTAAAGTGCTCGAAGAGCATTCTTGTTAAAATCTTACCAAACCCGATCAAAGAACTTAACTCTAAGTTTTTTATACTTCGACGCAACGCACTGAGCTTAAACTTGTCTACGGATGTTAGGTTTTTGCTCCTTTCCAAATATGGAAATTGACTGAAGGTCCGTTGAAGGAAGCTGCGGAAAGATGCGGAGAAAGTGATCTCGTCTCGGGTATCTATCTCATTGAAGTTCAAGGCTAGTACTGGAAATTTTCTGTAATTTGCGTTTATTAGCTTGGGATATTTGGCGATTTTTACGGAGGATGTGAAGATGCTGTAAAATTCGGAGGTGGTTTTGTTCAAGGGGTTTCCGGCCTCATCGGTGGGGATGTTGAGGAATGCTGAAACCATGTTCAGGATGCTCGTTTTTCCGAAGCCCTTCGGCGCGGTGATGACCATGTGCTCTGCTTCGTCTCGCATGAAATGGTTCAGGAACATGGTTTTGTCGACGAATGCCGACGAATCGTGAACGTCTTTGAAGTCAGCAGAGATCAACTCGATCCTCTTCGATTCGACGCCCTGTCACAATAAATGAATAATTTGTTTTAAATAAAAGAAAGTGTGTAAACTCAGATCTTTTGCACATAAACTTCTCAAAATTTTCTTCAAAACTGTTAAATTATTTTGATGGCCAAAGTCTGAAACGGTGACGTATCGCCTTGTGCGACGTTGCGAACTTTCGGCCATACTTCATATTTCTTTGGAAACAAGTCTTGGTTTGTCCTCTCGATTAGCAGAATATTCTGTGTAAAGTCAAGATATAAAAATGGCATGTTTTTTTCGAAAAGATAAAATAGGAGTAAGAATTTTGAAATGTGGCATTAAAGATACGTGGTTTTGCGCTTTGAGCGTGAATTCGATGACAGTATGTGAGTCTCATTTGCCTTAATATTAAGCGTCTTACGAGTCGGGGGTTTCCTTTTTAATTAAATCGCGATTGCGTTTTAACTGCCAGGAGACTCAATCCCGGGTAGTTACCACTTACAATTGAAGGGCTTGGAGGACAAAGCACATAAGTGCAATTTTTCCTATTTCGGGGAATACGTGTTTGGAGTCTCAAACTTACGTGGATCCTTGCGGCGGAAAGAAAGTTCAAACTGACTTTTTGATGCTTAAAAATTGAATTACAGGTGCGAATTTTCCACAGAATATGCATTAAGACTAGTTTTACTTGAAATCATTAATATCTCAATTGTTTTTTTTGTTTTTGTTTTTTTTGTTTTTGTTTTTAAAAACTGCACTTATGCGCCTTGCCCTCTATGCCTCTCATTTGGTTCTCAACTTGCGTCAGGATCTGAGCCTAGAAATATCCCAAACAGACCGCAACACAACTAAATTTGTAACAAATTCGTCCTTAAAATAAGGATTTTCCCTTCAAAAAAGCCCTGAAATAATGCTCTCTACTGTGTGGCGACATCCATGTAAAGTGTCTGGAGGCAAGTTCTTTTCATCTTTTGCTTACCTGATGGATGAAATAAATAAGAAATAACATATTCAAGGGACTTGAAAATAATACAAAACATTTGAAGAGAGTATATAAGTCGCAATTCATATTGAAGTTTACTCACGCACTTGGTCAGTCTAAAGCTACAATTAGTCACCACAATCACAATAATTAGTGTTGATAGATGAAGCAAACGTGGTCAAGTTTGGCAGAGTGGAGACACATTTACAAGGAACTTATTTTCACGGAAAAATCAATGAGAGGTATGTTTTTCTTGAGATGAAGTAAAAATAAGTGGTTTCCAACCTGACGAACTCGTTCCATGCATAAAGGTGGTAAAAGGAGAATACAAGTGACAATTTGAATTAAATTTCAGTATCACAGAGTCAGCTTCGAGCACAGAGGTCTCACTATCTGAAAGTGATGGTAAGATTGAAACAGAGATAAAATTATCATCAGAGAACTGTAGGCGCACAAAGTATCGAATCTCATTACAATGAGAATTGAAGCTATATTATTTCCTCATACAGGGTGTTTGAAAAGAAAACGTCCGACATAAAAATGTATTCGATGGTACCTAACGTAAATCGGAAAATCGAACGTTCTCGAGAACTTACGAACGGCTCCTTTAATGCGACTTTCCAAATTTCGTGAGAATTTTTGATCAATTTTCAAAGAAACATAGGTCCCTCACTTGGGAGGAACTTGTTTAAGGGATCTATTAATTTTTTTTTATATTTTTTTTTTAAACGGCTGTGTAAAAATTTACAAGAGCAGCTGGTCGAGTAAGGTTAAGATTAAGACGATTGAAGAAAATTTCCTGAACGATGCTCTGAATTTTTGGTGCGGTCTGAGAAAAATCGAAGGGACATTCAAAGAGGGGTTAGAAACAAGATGCGGCCGAACGGAGAAACGGTTGAGGGGATTTAAGATACCGCATAAGGGCTCAGATAGGGGACGCGGAAGGATAGATTCGCGGGGTGATTCCGATAAACCACTCTCTGTCGCCATTCGGAAAATTAATGACACGCTAAGATTCAACCCGGCTATGACGCATCATCTCCCTAATATATCATTTATAACCTAGCTATAATGAAGATTATCGTGTTTTCAATGTTGCAGAAATGTTTACGGTCGAGTAAATGAATACATCAAAATGCAACAAAGTTGTTCATAGAAAAAAATTGTTTAGGGTTATCCCCTAAAATTGTTGTCCTACTGCAATTTGTTGGATAATATGGGCATTTCCAATTCATTGTGGTAGAACCGCGACTCACGTTGGGGTATTACCGCAACATTTGGGTTGGTAACTCAATTTATTGGGGTACTACTAATTGGGGTACCCAAGTACTACCAGAATTAATTGAAAATTTCCATATCATCCAACAACCCCTACCTCTTTTCTTCCGTGATTGAAATGCACCTGCAGCGTTATGTAGTATTCCTTTTTCTCTTACGTATAAAGAAACCGGAACTCATCTCTTGAAGATAATAACTTCACATGAAACATGAATTTCCATTCGTACAGAACACAACTACACAATCGGGAAACCAAAGTTGTCGATTTCAGAAACTTGATCCCGGTTCAGATTGCCAAAATCCCCAGTGAAAAATTGAAGTCATTGGTAAGTCACAGTGTCGCAACGGAGAATTTGACTACCTAAACCTCTGCTCAGTTTCAACGGTCTTAAAGTTCTTAGCCAGGTTCGGTGGCCCAAGCGTAGGAATGAGTTGAAGCTCGATAGTTTTTTGAAAAAGTATTTTCTCTCTATCACAGGTACCCACAAATCTCTGAACGAGTCCACTGTCGTCAAATTTTTGAAATTATGACTCAGGTCTTGTACGGCCTTAACGCGGTCCTTTGAGGCTGCAAAGCACCCACCACCGTGAAAGTATAAAAACCTCGTTTAAACACGAACAAAAAAAGCTTGGTGGGCACTTTTTGGCTCAAAATAATAAGACCTCATTCCCACAGACTAACCTCCTCGATTGAAAAAACTGAAAAATTCCCGTCTGTATGGAGGATGCTCCATATGAACCATAAATTTTCGGTGTACACTGGAAAAAAAAACATTGGATCTAGAGTCCAGACTCTTGAAAACATTGACAAGAAAAATGACTCTTGATTCAATCAGACTTAAGCTTAGATCAAAAGGGAATCCGCTCAAATTAAGAGGCTTGGTTCTTGATTTAAGCTTAAATCTGATTGAATCAATAATATTTTTTCTTGTCGATGTTTTTAAGAGTCTGGACTTTAGATCCAATGTGTTTTTTTTTCCCAGTGTACTAAACCTTCGGCTCGTAGAACTAAACTCCAGATCCTTTAAACTGAAGCTCGGTTCTATCAACACAATAGCTCAGTTCGCACGACCAAAAGCTCATTTGTCCAGACTAAAAAACGTCTACTGAACTTATCGGCTCATATAAGCGATGTTTTCCCCCCTTGCGGGGGCTGGGCCGCATAACTGCCAGCCAGGGACTCCCAGATCAGCTTGATATCCGCAATCTAGAAAAAATAATATTTTCATACCTCTTGTGCAGCAGGTACGTAAATTACACGTGCAGAAAGGAGAACGGGGCAAAATTAAATGCGTAAGCTACGGTCGGTGATAATTTATCCTAGGAGCAGCGGATTTATTCGAGAGCACTCTCAACAGGCTGCTAATATATTATACATGTTTTCTTTTTTTCCAATGGGATATTCAAATCGGAGTCCGGATATACCGAGTCTGAATTCGTTATCTTCCAACCTGGCCGCGGACGCATCTTAATTAGAAGAGCATTAAAACTTTTCCTCATTAAAATTAAGAAAGGAGGCCCGAAGGGATCCTGAACCGGCACCGTCGCGAAACCGTTCTTCCCCTCCTAGAGAGCTGTCGGTGGATGGAAATAAATTCTATTTCTTTCCTCCATTTTTGTTTTTAGACAGTAAAAACCGCGGGTAGAATCGTTAAAAGCGAAACTGCTCGGCTATCATAAATCAACCATTTATATTTTCTCGTATTTCCTTTTTATATACGCGCACGCAGGTAGGGATGGAAATTAAAATTCTTTCGCCGATAAAACTGAGACAAACCTCATAAATATTCAAGCAAGATTTTTTCCCTCTCATTTGAAGCTGCTCAGGATTATGAATGCAGTTCCTAAAACGTCTCGAAAGATTCAGTGCACTCATGCTGAGGCCGCAGGATTTAGAGAAACAAAAGAAAAGCAGGTAAATTGCTCGCATCTTCAGTTACCTACTTTATTTCAGTACATTTTTTTAAGTATCCGAAGAACGTGTTATGGGTCGGGAAGCGCTAAGCTAAAAAAATTATCTTATCAAGAGGACACCTGATAGTTTTCTGTACCTACCTCAATCTTAGATTGCAATTGGCAATGGCTCGAATTGCAGTTTTCCGGTGAATGATTACAATTTTAATACGATGAAATGACGGTTGAACAAATACAAGGTATTTGCACTTATTCTATCAAAAATGCGACTAAGGAGCCTCTCAATCGTGTCTGCCTCTGCAGGCCGATTATTAAAATTAGTGGACAAAATTATAGACAAAGAAGACAAAAGAGATATAGAAGGATCTCACTGGTGAAAGCTGGTGGTTGCAATGGATGGGAGGTAGGCAATAGACTAATTAAGGGCAATCCCAAGAGACCCTGTAGTTAGTCCATCAGTTTCTACCTTATAGTCTATAGGAGCCACCCATAAGCCACCCACCAATAGGATCGCTCAATACTCCACATGTCTTCTTGGTCTATCGCTTAATGCGCAATTTTCGTCGAAAACTTTTCTGATTTTTGCATGAGATCAGATAAAAAATCAGAGAAATACTCAGTTCGAGACACCTAAGATTCTCCCGAGGAAATTCAACAACATTGAAATGAGGGGCTTGGAGGACAAGGCGCATGATGACAGCGTAAGTCTTGCAATCACGTATCTCGTTTGCGGTGTCTGAAAATCTGCGCTTCTATGTTATTGATTTAAAGAAGAACAAATTGACATCATTCCTAGAAGTTTATGCAGAATTTTCTTCGCACAGAGGAGAAAAATCACGGCAGTTTTAAAGAATTGCCGGTGAGTAGTTTTCCGTTTAAAAAATAAAGTATGACAGGAAGTCTGCGACGTCGCGAAATGAGTTATGTAATTGTCAACTTACACCGTCGATAAGTGCAGTTTTTGAAAAAATTGAGATAGTATATGTATGTATGAGCCGCTTTTACGGCGCGCTAGGACGCTCTGCGACGCCTAGAGACGCCTGAGATAGTAATGATTTCAAGTATAACTAGTCTTGATGCACATTCTGTGAAAAATTTCAATTTTCAAGCATCAAAAAGTCACTTTAAACATTCTTTCCGCTATGAGGATCCATGTAATTTCGAAACTTCAAACACATGTTTCTCGAAATAGCAAAAACTTCACTTATGCGCCTTGTCCTCCAAGCCCCGCAAATGTAGTTAAAGGCTCTTTCGCTGAGGAAACTAGACCAGATAACATTTCGGGGTAATCATGAACGCTGATCACTGGTGTCAATGGGTAATAGTAAGGGGGCCCCGATTTTTCGGTTTCACAAAATCTTCATTGCAATGAGATCAGATCATCCGATAATTATTTCACTGATCAGCAATTTGTGCGCAACAAACGAATTCATACAGAGATGGTTACATTTTAGAGCAGTACCTAAATCTACCGTATGTTCCTAGTAACCGGTAGCAACCAAGAACAACGGTAGTTTTTCTTGGTGCATATTTATAAGAACATGCATCTCAGAGGGAGGGACGCAGAGAGGTAAGTCACCGGGGAATTTACACGTGACGCGAAAACAGTGAGAATATTTCCTCGGTGAGCTTTGCCCTGCTCAGGGATCACCTCGTAACTCCGATAGGGAACCTGAGGGAGATATGCGGTTTTTGCTGAGCAAGGCAAAGCAGGAATGCCGCGAAATTCGAGTTAATTGAAATTTACTTTGAAGCACTGACAAGGCATCGAGGAAGCCGTGAGCGAAGATTGAAAATGAATAAGTTATATTCTAATCAAAATCGGTGCGGTTGCTCGAAAAAGGGACCCATTGTTTATCGCAGCGCTGCGTCGTCTGCTGCGTTACAGAAAGAACGGCGTAAGAGCATGCAAACGTTGCTAAATTTCCTCCGATAAAACGTAGTTTTCGAGCAGTCTCCTTCGAAATTCTCAGATTTCCAAGCAAGAATGGATAATTTGCAGGTGTCTGAAAGAGCCTCCCAAAAAAGAGGCTGATTTTGGCCCCTTTTTAGGTATTCGATTCGACCGTCGGACCAAGGTTTAAGTG